ACATACCCACAGTCTGTGCGACACAGAACGCGATGTGGACAGTCTGCAGTGGACTTCTCAACGAGTGAACTGTATTCATACAATGACCCTTTCACGCTGGCGGAGTTGGAATCGGCGATCGCCAGGCTTCGCAGCGTGTCAGAAGGCCCTGACACGGTTCACAACGATATGCTTAAGCATCTGCCGCGTCGCGCGCTTCGCGTTTTATTAGCGGTATTCAATTCGCTTTGGACCAGAGGTGAATTCCCAGCGTCTTGGCGAGAAGCTACTGCCGTGCCTCTCTTGAAGCCGGGAAAAAGTGGGCTAAATCCTTTACATTGTAGACCCATTTCTCTTACGTCATCGCTCTGTAGGTTGATAGAGAAGATCATTAATATCCGTTTAACCTGGTTTTTGGAGCATAACGGTTTTTTACAAACGCACAGTGTGGTTTTAGAAGGAATCGCAGCACAGTGGATAATCTTGTAGTTCTTGACACTGCGATTCGTGAGGGATTTAAAGCAAATCGACACGCCGGCGCTGTCTTTTTTGATATAGAGGGCGCCTATGACACCACATGGCGTCATGGTATTCTTGTTAAGCTATATAGATATGGTATACGGGGCAATATGGTCACGTTCCTTCAGAACTTTTTAGTTGACCGTTATCTCCGTGTCCGTGTTGGGAGCGCGTTCTATGAGAGGCACTATCAAGTTAATGGTGTGCCGCAAGGTGGTGTCCGGGGTGTATCATCGTTCGCCATTATGATAAACGGCATCGCGGTTGGGCTGTCACATGCTGTAGGTCGTGCCCTTTTTGTTGATGATTTTACCATCTGGACTAGCGCAGCAAGAGCTTCATCGATGGAGCGGCATCTTCAGTTAGCTGTTGATCGTGTCGAGAAGTGGGGCACCATAAACGGGTTCAGGTTTTCTGGCAACAAGACTAGTCATGCATTTTTGTCGTAGTTGGCACTGCGGCAATGTGTCTATCCGTCTGTGTGGCCAACGCGTCTCAATGGAGCCTGTGGCTAGATACCTTGGGGTATACTTAGACCGCCGACTCACATATAAGGCACATGTTAAGACGCTACGTGAACGCTGTTTTAAGTCCTTGAACATACTAAAATGTGTTTCGCGCACATCGTATGGGGCAGATAGAAGCACGCTTTTGCTATTGTATCGCTCAACCATACGTTCTAAGCTGGACTACGCATGTTTTATTTGTGACAGCGCGTGTGAGTCCACCAAGCGCGTCCTGGACGCTGTCCATCACACCGCTTCACGTGTAATGACAGGAGCATTCCGCACATCACCTGCCGCGAGTCTGATGGTGGAATCGCACGGGCCGCCCTTGTCAGCGAGAAGGAAAATGCTCGGTATGCGTTATGCACTTAAGTTGCGACAGTCCCATCTAGCATATAGCGCAGTTTTTTCACGGCCTGCTATGCATTTTCGTCACAGTGCACCTCGGCCACATGTTGTAACCTTTGGCCTCCGAATACAAGCCTTGCTACGGGAAAGCGAAATTCCCATTAGAAGGTTGAAGCGGGTAGATCATCTGTCCACTGCTCCCCGGGGTTTTATCTCGCCATCAATAGATACGTCTTTGACAGAAATGAAAAAGAATGTCGTCTTGCCAGATAGAATGAGGTCGAGGGCTCTTGAACGTATGGCGTTATATGGCGATTACACACTTACTTACACGGACGGATCTAAAACTTCTGGCGGTGTGGGTTGTGCGTTTGTGAACGGCAGCGTCATCCGGTCGTTTTCTTTGCCTCCACGTGCGTCGATGTTCACATCGGAGTTGGTAGCGATCACCAAGGCGTTGTGTTTCATTGAAGTCAGTGACGAACCTTCACATCTGATTTTGACAGACTCTCTAAGCAGTGTTCTTAGTCTGATGTCTTTTTATCCATCATGTCCCCTGGTACAGGATGTTCTAGGACGTTTGACTCAACTGGATCAGGCCCGAAAGAAAGTAATATTGTGCTGGATCCCCAGTCACATTAGGATCGCCGGCAACGAGATGGCTGACGCGGCTGCAAGGCGAGCAGCGCTGGCTCCATGTGTGCGCTCCCTCTCTATCCCTGCCAGAGATTTTTACCCTGCAATAAAAACATTTCTGCAGAACGAATGGCAGCGTTGTTGGGATGGGACAAATGAAAATAAGCTCAGAGCAATAAAACCCAAGCTGGGTCAGTGGTTAACATGTTCTCGCAAAGTCAGGCAAGAAGAGGTAGTGCTCTGCAGACTACGCATTGGGCACACGTTTGCAACTCACGGCTATTTGTTGCAAGGAGCCGAAAGACCTAGCTGCCATCGATGTGGTGCTGTTCTCACCGTTCGTCATATACTCATGTCATGTCCGCGCCTCATGGAAGAACGTCGACGTTACTTTGGACAGCGTGAATCGCCCTTGACGCTCTGTGACATTTTAGGAGAGAACTCACACTTTCTTGAATCTAAACAGGTCTTTTTATTCCTTAAACATATCAACTTCGGGACCCTTTACACGGTTCGTTAGTTAGGTAAAACAAAAATAGTTATGGGCGCCAAATGACCTCTGCAGTCGGCGCGCCCGAAAACACCAATCAACAACAGCAAAAAATCTGTTCAATGTGTCTGGAGGTGCCGGCTAAACGACTTAAAGAAGCATCGGTTATATTGTCAATGCTCAAGCGTTGAGTACCAATATTCGCTTGAAAACATCTGTTAAAGTGTCTTCTGATACGCTGAAAGTCGGTAGCTGTGAGCGTAAGAAACACGAACTCGTAATGTCGCAAAACCAGGAGTTCAATGCCTTTCGTGTTAAATCAAGTCTAGGTGTTCTTAATTACACACTTTTGATTGCGTTAAAAAACGAGAAGATCATAGTTGTTGCTTGGCCGCAACGTTAGCCATCGATGTTGCAGCACCACGGATACGTAACGCTGTGGTTAAAGTCGGTTGAGATTGAAATTGGTTCTACACCATCCTTAAAGCTCCTCAAAACGCATTTCGTTCGAAAGATCTGGCGAAACATTTGAATTATTTAGCAGCCAGAATCATTCCGGTGGAGAAACATGTTTTATCATTTAAGCTTAAGATGCATTCAACTGTTAAGGCTATATAGCGTCGCCGGCTTCTCAGCCTGGAAGGAGGTGCGGGTCCAGCGGGGTATTGAACCCCATACATGTGGTTTCCCAGATGTGTAGCTTAAGGTTATATGGCGTTGCCGGCCTCTCACCCTGGAAGGAGGCACGGGCCCAGCGTGGTATTGAACCCCGTACCTGTGGTTTCCTAGACGTGTAGCTTAACCGCTACGCTATTGTCACCCATCGGCGAAATTACACGGGGTCATATGTGCATGCGGTGTACGCTACCGGACACTGGCAGGACAGACCATAGCCGGGTTACATAACAACGCATGCTGTCACAGCCTACTGAAGTGAAGAGAAGGACCCCAAAACTGCCTGTAACCAACAGGAGTGGCCGGCTGGGCGCTGCTGTGTCAGCTCTCTTCGTTCTCTTCACTGCGTTGTCACTGCGCGCCTCTTGTCATGTTGTGGCGACTTGGTTGTACGCCTCCGCCCTGTTGCCCCGCTGCTGCTCGTGAAGACAGTCCGATCACGTCTTCCTTAAGCTATTTCGCATGTGCAGGCATAGGTTCTTTCCAGGCGCACCAGTCATTTTCGAGGCCGGCTCCAGTTCTCGGTGGTTTGTTGGATGGCACGTTTTTATCGTTAAGTCAAATGCCCCCCCCCCTCTACGACATATATCTGATGTTGACCTTTGCGAACAAGGAGTCAGAACGCTGTCCTATCTAGGTGATCTGCAACTGCGCCAGGCATAATTGCTCGTTATGCTAACTCAGTCTTGTGAGTCACACTTTACTGACGCGTTTTCGGCTTGGCACATGCTATTTCCGGGAGATATCAGGATCCACTTCATGCTGGTGCTTCCACTGTGGGGACATGGTCCTAAAGACCCTCCGGCTTCTCGGTTGCCCGAGATGACCAAGAGCACGGCATTGGCCGCTACTGCACTGCGCCCTGACTCATGGAACTTGATGGCGATAGTTGTGGTAGCGATCTGCGGTGAATGAGCTTGTAGCGTAGCGCTAATGAGCACCCATACTGGCTGGCGATGTCCAGCGCAGTTAAGCAGCCATACTGCATGATGTTGTGCAGCGCAACTGAGCACCCATATTGCCTGGTAATGTCCAGCGCAGTTGAGCACCCATACTGCATGATGATGTCCAGCGCAGTTGAGCACCCATATTGCATGGTCATATCCAGAGCAATTGAATACCCATACCGTATGGCGATGTCCAGCGCAGTTGGGCACCCTGCATCCTGCCTGAAGATGTCCAGCGCACTTGTGTGCCGTGGTAGTGACCGCCTCTCCGCTCACCTCCGTGGGCTGCCTCGGTGTCGCGAGGATGTCTTGAGATACTCACGTCCGAAGGTTCCCGTCAAAAACGCATATGTTGACACTGTCGCGCCACATGCCAAGGTAAAAGCGCGTATGTCACGTCATTCGTGTTGTTGACGTTTCAATTTAAGGCATGTTTTCCTTTGCCGTTGCATGTCAGGAAATTTGTGACATGGATTTTTTCGGAAATCCTTTCTCACAATAACTTGATGTAAAAATGTCGAACTGCACAAACGACCTTACCATCAGATGCTCCATCGCCTGAGCAATCGAATGATATCAAAAACATTTTCACAAAAAATGACACGCGATTGTACCATCGCGGCAGATTTGGCTTGCGTCATATCTTAACTATTTTGTTTACCATTTCGAGTTGAGTGGAAATATGTAGACATGATGACATTCACAAACCTGCGACTATGTGGTGCAACAATACGCCTTGCATTGAAACAAACTCGTGTTCGAGGGCCATGTTATGATGGGTCAACTTGTGATACACCTGCCAAGAGCAATTGTCTATTTTTGTTGGTGACTGGGGGGCTTTGGCGTCGTGTATTGCCGATTCGGCCCGCGTGTGATTGAGTTTTCTGTCTTTATCCACAGATCCTGATGAAACACTTCCGCACTTTGCCCGTGGTGGAGAAGGACATCTTGACCTACTTTATCTATACGGTCAAGACTAACCGCAATCGGTTGCACCAGAAGCCGTCGACGTCGGCGGAGCCGAGCTAGGGCGACCGGCGGGCGCGGTTGTGTGATAGCAGGGTTGCCAGCGGACCGGGCCGGGTCAGCGTGCGCCGCCAGCGGGACCGGGCACCAGGCCGGCGGGCCCAGGCCGGACGGAGCACAGCCGGTGACTGGAATATTTTATGACTCGATCAATGCATCAGTCATGTTGGTGCGCCCTGTGTTAGTCGGAGTGCTGCTCGCTATCTTCGCCTCCCGGGCACCTGCCTCGGGCTGATGGCGATGTCAGAGCGGTGCCTCTCCCAGCAGCCTTTCGATGTCACGTTCCGATGCACGTCAGCGCTGTCGCGTTGTGCAGGGGCCAAACAGAAAGTACTCCGTGCTTTGCGTCGTAGATCATGCGATGCATCTGTGGCCTCCCACAGCATGTAAAACATTGATCGTATTCCCTTTCTTTCTTCCTTTTATGACGTAACCGGCGCATAGTAGACCGACACCTGTCTGCTCAATGTTCGCATATTTTAGATGCCATTCTTTCCTCAAAGTAGCGGTGCAACTGTAAGGTTTTGTTTCTGAAGGAATCATAGGAAATTCGTTTGCAGTCCATGGAACGAACGGAAGATGACAGAACTGAAATGTATTTCAAGCAAAAAACGCGTTTTTTAAAAACATTATTCCGAATGGTTTGTATGGGTGACTTCGAATTCAGGGTACCTGCTAAGCATAGCTTGTTGCGTGTACCCCGAACCCACCACCCAAGCGTACCGTCCAGTTAAACAGCTAATTTTGCCTCCGCCCTTTCGCCAGACAGGAATGCGGAGGGTTTTACGTGCCGCACAACGCTGCGACACGGCCGCCTCGGGTCTGGGTTGAACCTCGTTGGCCAGTTGCCAGCTGGCCTTTCCATTTCGGTCGGGTCAAACAATGCGCCCACTCTGGGACTCGTACCCAGTGCCGCTGGATTACGAGTCCAGCATCTTTCCCCAAGACCACGGAGGCGGCGTTAAGATTGATTTTGCCAAGTCTCCGTGAAATTCGTTTTCAGACCCAGCGAAGAGTATTGAAGCGGTAGGCGCGCTAGTTTGGTGCCTCGTGGCTCATGCACAATGGCAAACACAGCCGTCGGCCACTGATCTTCAGAGTCCAGTCGGCATTTATTTCGTTGGCCGTATACTGTTCTGTGTGGCCCTTGTATGTGCTCTGTGTGCGACCGGTCGTTGCGGTGCTCCCCAGTGCGGAGAATTCACTTCTATCTGCAATCATGGATGACTTAGGGTGGCCTTTGGGTGCG